GACACCTGAGGGATCATCTGGAGAGGTATAAGCAAGAGAGGGTGCTAGCCCACATGAGGTGGTAGTCGGGATGGAGAGGAGGGTAGAGGGCCAAGGGATGGAAGGGGCTTACACCTAGCCCGTGGACAAAGACAAGTGGGTTGAGCTTGCAGGACTCCCATGTCTACACACGAGCTAGGAGCTCTCCCAGCTCTGAAGTGGAAGCTGCGGATGCAGGTCTATCACATCTTTCACAGGTAAGGATAGGCTAGCCTGTGCCTGTTGCAGGTGAAGCTGTCCATTTGGATCTAAGTCCTTGATGTTCACCTTTTAGATGACAAAAGTTCTAACTTTCTGTCGCGCCAGTCTTATTCAGAGACAAGTCTTCTCAACTCTAAACACAGAACCAGATTAAAAAAAAAAAGTGCCAGAAGAAAACCACTTTGGGAGATGGCATCACACTTGCCTTTTGACACCTCCTGTAGATACAGCCAATCAATCAGTGGTTTGTTGCCAGGCCCATTGGCATGAAGAAAAATAGGGGCCAGTAACGGGGACATGCAGGCCCAGGAAAGGAAAAGATGCTAAACATAGGGCGAGACAAGGAGAACATTGATGCTGAAGTTGATGGTAGGTACCCTTAGTGCTGGGTCCATATCCCCTTCAGAGATTAGAAAACCCAGTCTGAGGTGAAGACACAGAAGGAGGTCAGTAGACAGGTGGAGGTTGGCACAGGGACATCCTTTAAATCCAGGGTAAAGAGAAAGAGTGGAGCTTGCTGAGCCCCTAGATCCCATCCTCCTGCAGGTACTCCGTAGCTCCTGAAGGGCATCTTCTGTGTCACACACCTACCCTGGCCTTCATCCCACATGCATGCTTTATGCAAGTAGGGTTGGCCTGGGGCTACAGCACTGAACAAGTCCCTTATCTTCACAAGTGCCATGGAGAGAAGCAGGGGCAGTGTGGGTGTAATGAGGGTAGGCCACTGAGGAGTTGCTGCTGAGGAAGAGCAGGCTGATGGGGAAACTGGAGAAGAGGCCTCAGGCCTCTAGGCCCTGCCATAACTGGTCAGTCATTCCATCTTGTGGGCACATGCATAACAGACGTATGTAAAAATGACAAGTGAGGGCTGAAGAGATGGCTCAGTTATTAAAAACACTTGTTAAAGACCCGGGTTTGACTCCCAGCACCCATGTGGCCCCTTCCAACCAATCCAAGGGCTCCTACGCCCTCTTCTAGCCTCCATGGGCACCAGGCACTCATGGTGCATAGACATAAATTCAGGCAAAACCTCCACAAACAGAAAATACTTCTGCCCATTTTAAAAATGTAATTAAAATAACAAAAGACCTGGCAAAAAGTAATGATAAACACCAAAACTGAACTGTATTATCTGTGTTGAAGTCAGTAATTGGAATTTATCTGCAATAAGTTTACTCCATTTAAATTTTATGTTTCAGGTTTTTTAAGTTTGCACTTTAATTTCAAAGCTGTGTCACCTTTTTTTATATTATTAAAACTATGTATTTGTGGGAGGATGGGAAGGAGACCCACAAAAACACGCCTTGTTCAAAATTGTCAACATTGTCTAACACATCTTTGCTGGTTTAAAAATGAGTGTATGTTTATTAGCACACACTTCAAAGTCCTAACATACACACTAAGCTGTAAGCCCTTTTCTCTCAGATACTCAAGCTCATCGGCACCAGAAGCTTTGGAGCGTCTTTCAGATGAGTAAAGAACCAGGTAATGTTTTCCACTTTAAATTGAACATCTGAATTTGGCAATTTAAAAATGAGGAGCAAATGTGGTCTCTTGGGTGGAGGGTTTTGTTTTGTTGTTTCTGAGTCATTGTATCCCTATGTTGCATAGGCTAGCCATGAACTCACTATGTAGCCTAGCCTGGCCTTGAATTCACTGTGTAGACAAAGCTGGTCTTGAACTTGTGGTTTTCCTGCCTTTGCCTCCAGAGTAGTGGTTCTCAACCTGTGAGTTGCAACCTCTTTGTGGGATCAAATGACTCTTTCCCAGGGGTCACCTAGGACCATTAGAAAACACAGATATTTACATTATGATTTGTAACAGCAAAAATTATAGTTAGGAAGTAGCAATGAAAATAATTTTATGGTTGGGGGTCACCACAGCAAGAGGAACTGTGTAAAAGGGTTGCAGCTTCAGGAAGGCTGAGAACCACTGCTCCAGAGTGATGAGGTGACAGGGATATTCTTCCATACCCAGCCTAGCAGTCTGCTCTCTCAGGCTTCTTTTGAAAGATAGGACTCTTGCTCATTTATATCCCCTGGCACTCAGGGGCATGTATGGGGTGGCCATTACAGCTACGGGATGCACAGGCCAAAGACATTGTAGCTCCCTTAACCTCTTTTTATATTTCTGTGCACTTTGACAGGTGAAGATGTCGACTTTTTTGACATGAAACAGTTCCAAAGTTCCTTTAAGAAAATTCTTCAGAGAGCATTAAAAAATGTAAGAAAAGAGTCTTCATGGATTTCTACAAAATTCAATTTAGTAATATCTGGGGGGTAGGGGGGAAATATGCCATTACCTTAACAAACTAAATATTATAAAAAACTTCCATCTCTCACCTGCCCATCTCACCCAGTGCTTTTTAGGGGCAGTACTGCCCACTGGAACTCTGCCATGGCATCTGCTGCTGATGACAATGTCCAGTACTTAGCTGATTGCCACATGAGGACTTGATAGGTGGCTGATGTGACTGAGCAAATGAATCTTTAAACTGACTTAATGAGTTCCCATTAGATGGTCCACATGTGGCTAGTGGCTCTGCCAGTGGTCAGCAGTCACTTTTGCTTTTGCAGTGGGAAGTGAAGGCATCCAGAGTAAGACCCTCTGCTCTTCCAGCCAGTAGGGGCCACTGAGCCACAGAAGAGAGCAAGCTCTCTACTGCTCACCAGGGGATGAGACACCATTCTGCAAACCCACAGCCAGACAGGGAGCTTTCCTCCTCCTTGCACCAGGGGATCAGGAAAAGCAGCTGAGTGCAGAGTGGCAGAGTTTGCTCTGAGCCAGCAGACAGCATAACCACCTGCTTTTCCTGGAGTAAGATCCCACAGGGAGGAAACAGCAAGCCAGCTGGCCCTCTCTTCAGGTTCTCCTTTCCTGGTCAGGCCCCAAAGGAAGGTGAACTGGGGCTAGCTGATGACCTAGCAGCGGCTATTAAATTCCAGAGCAAGTGCAGTCATAGCTGCAAGTTTAGAAAGACTGAGGGCTGGCTGTGACATGGATACCACACAACCTCATGGGCTGCCACATTCCTGAGTGGCTCTAGCTGCTGAGACTTGTAGAAGAATATCAGGATCAGTGCACTCTGAGCTCCTTGCCACATAGAAATCCTGCTGTAACTTCAGAGAGGCAAACTAAGTGTGCTGGCCAGCACTAGTGAAAAGGCTTCGCAGGAAAGCACCCCTCGCCTTTGTTTGTTTTGTTTGTGAGATAGGATCTCACCATGTAGCCCTAGCTAGAGCTCCCCAAGATCTGCCTGCCTCTGCCTCCCAAGGCTGGGAATAAGGTGTGCCGAGCCAGATAGATCATTGTTTAAATTTTGTTTTATTTCTTGATGTATGTTAGTGTTTGTCTGCGTGTATCTGTGCACTGAGTGCATGTCTGGTGTCTGCAGAAGGCGGAAAAGGGCATCAGATCCCCTAGAACTGGAGTTATAGATGGTTGTAAACCACCCTGTTGATACCGGTAGCCAAATCATGATCCTCTGCAAAAGCAGCAAGTGCTTAACCTGTGAGCCGTCTCTCTGGCCCGATTATAAGTTTTTTTTAGGGATTTTTCTTTTCTCAAAAAATACTTTGCAACATGTAAATATATCTTTATAAAATAATTATAAAATGTTTTCCCAAAGAGTCTCAAAACACTGTCTAAAAAGTAGAAATAGGGGGAAAAAAAAAAGTCAGGCAGTGGTGGCTCACGCCTTTCTTTAATCCTGGCACTCAGGAGGTAAAGCCAGACAGATCTCTGTGAGTTCGAGGCCAGCCTGGTCTACAGAGTGAGTTCCAGGACAGGCTCCAAAGCTACACAGAGAAAAACCAAAAAAAAAAAAAAAAAAATGTAGAAAGCTGATGTGATGTGTAGATGTAACCAACCATCTTATTAAATAAGAAACACAGAACCAATGTAAAAGAGAAAGCCGAGAGGTCAGAGCTCAGAGCTAAAATCTTACCCTTCCTCCTGCAAGCTCCTAGCTTCCTGAAAGAGAGCCATTTCCTGTGTGTAAGTCGTTTCATAGTCTTTTGTTCTGCCTTCTCATTGGTTGTAAACCCAAACACGTGACTGCCTCGTCACTGTCTGTATGTACAGCCCCCCAGGTCTTAAAGGCGTATGTCTCCAATGCTAGCTGTATCCCTGAACACACAGAGATCTACCTACCTCGTCTACCAAGTGCTGGGATTAAAGGCGTGTGCCACCACCGCCACACTCTTGCTATGGCTCTAATAGCTCTGACCCCCGGGCAACTTTATTTATTAACATACAATTCACATTTCAGTACAATTAGAATACCACCACAGTGATGGGTCACCTAGAGTTACTTGCTGCCCAGCCTGATGACCTGAGCTGGATCCCTGGAACACATGTGGTAGAAGGAGAGAGCTGACTCCTGCAAGTTGTCCTCTGACCTCCACATGTGTGCTGTGGCAATTGTGTGCCCTCACACATACTTATAAATAAATAGAATCTTTAAGTAGACAAAAAGGCTGGGTGTCCACACACATGACAAATTACAGTAACATTGCTTGTGTCTCAGGTGCCTGTAGTTGGTGCCACGATGAGATTTAACCAGGAAGCTTAAATCTTTTCTTTATAAGGTTACGGTCAGCTTCAGAGTCGACGGGAAGAATGCAGTGTGGATTCGGGTTGCCTGGGGAACACAGTATTCACGGCCAAACCAGTACAAACCCACTTTTGTGGTGTATTATCCCCAGACTCCGTATGCCTTCATTTCCGCCAGCCATCTGAAGAGCACTGTACCCCTTCTCCATCAGGTAGGGAACAGATCACAACAGCTGGAGGACTCAATACCCTTGTCTCAAAGGTTCACATAGGTATTAAGTCCAAGAAGACTTAGTGTAGAGTAACTTAGTTCCTGTTCTTCTAAGGTAAGGATCAGAGAGCTTTCTTTCCTACAGTGGAAATGTGACAGAAGGTATTATTAGCTTTTTTCTTTTTTAATGTAAAAGTAATACATGCTTAATATAAAAACAAATGCAACCAGTTCAGAAGGCTCTAAAGGTAAAAGGTGAGTCATCAAAACTCCACCCTTCTTCCTACGCCATTCACCCCAGATAGCTAGTGTCACCTTGCTGTCTCCTTCCAAAGCAGTTGTTAGTGTCACCAGCAGTGCTTTTTGTAGTTTTCTTTAAGATTTATTTATTTATTATGTATACAGTCCATTGTCAGCAGCAGGCCTTGGGGTCCCAAAAGTGAGTAACAGGCGAGAGGATTAAATTTCTTCAGTTTCTTTTCACTTGTGAGGGGTGGGGGGAGTTACCTTTGTTTGGAGACGGGGCTCACCCCTGCCTCAGCCTCCCCAGGGCTGGGGTCCCAAGTGTGCAGTGAGCCTCTACACAGTGTTCTTAACAAGATGTGCATCCTAACAGTCCTGCTCCTTTCCCTCCAAGGCCCTGAAGGTTGCTAGCAAACACCATCAGATCGTGCAGATGGATCTGAGAAGCCGGCACCTGGACTCACTCCAGGCCATTGTTTTTAGAGAGTATGATCAGGTGAGTCTTTAAAGTTGGGTTTCCCTTTACTGCTGTGCACACTGAACAGGGGGAGGGCCACTCTCAGCACGTCCCTGGCAGTGAGTCGTTGACCCTTTCAATCATTTCACTTTGTTCTGTGTTTGTTTATTCTTTCACAGTGTCATACATATATAATGTACTTTGACCCTACTGTCCCCATCATCCTCTTAACCCCTTCCTCCCAACAAGTCCCTTCCTACTGTCATGGGCTGGTGGGGGTTCTTTTGAGCACCCTGCATTTAATTAGGGCTGCTTGCCTGAGTCTGGATGTGGAGTTACTTCCTAGAGCAAGAGTGCTCCACATTGGCTACACCACTGAGCAATTCAGCTTCTTTCCCCAGCAACCATCAACTGCCTAGAGCTCCTCAGAAAGGGGTGGGGTCTCATGAGCCCTCCCTTATCCAGGATAAAATGATGAAATGTTTGGATGCAGTGTTTCCATTTCCTGACAAGGACAGGTCTGCCCCTTGGTCTTAAGGTTTCTTCTGTACAGGGCAAATGTTTGCACATGTTCAGATATTTTAGGTGGATGGGATTCCTTAAGGGTAATGCTGTGTGTTATGTTCTAGGTAGGGAGAAATGATGGCTGTCTGCAGGTCACTCTTTAAAGGGAAGGGTAGAAACTTGAAGATGTTTTTGCCTCAGGGTCCTGCCAGCCACTGTAGATAGGAACATCTAACTGTGGGCCAAAATAAATGCTTCTTCCTTTTAAAAAAGAAAATAATTTTTACTTTCCTTCTTGAGGGTTTTAAAATGGGATCTCATGTACCCCAGGCTGGCCTTAAACTCATTACTTAGCTGAGGCCTCTACCTCCCAAGTGCTGGAATTGCAGGCTTGAGCTACCATGCTGGCCTCTTAAGAAGGTAGATGGCAAGCCAGGCCGTGGTACACATGCTTTAATTCCAGTACTTGGGAGGCAGAGGCAGGCAGATCTCTGTGAGTTCAAGGCCAGCCTGGTCTACAGAA